TTTTATAAGATGAAATAATAGAAGTTGAGATGACAGAAGATTAGAGGATATGAGATGAGAAAATATGAACTTAGATGATTTGGATTGAGATTATAGAATATGAGATAAAATTATATGGGATAAGATGCAATTAGATTAGATGAGAATAGATGAGATGATATGAGCTGAGATGAGATGACGTGAGATAAGTTAAAATTTTATGAGATTAATTGATATAAGTTGAGAAGATTTAAAATGAAATAAGTGGAAATGAGTTAAAGTTAAATATTATGAGATCAGTTAGGATGAAATTTGATGAAATAAGATGAGATGAGATGCGTTGAGAATTGATCTGATGAGAAGAGATTAGATGAAATCAGATGAGATGAGATAAAATGAATTGTGGTAAGATGGGTTTAGATATGATGAATTGAGATGAAATGATACGATATAATTTGAGATTATATGAGTTGAGTCCTGATACCATTATATGTAATTAGATTTGTTTTTCTGGCGTGGGATTAGTTTATAGAGCTGAGTTCAGATGAATTATATGGGATAAGTCTGGATAAGATTACTTAATTTGAACAGTGATTGTATGAGACGTTTTTATTTTATATAATATATGATGACTTGATAATAATTAAGCTGATGCGAAATTTTTTTAATTTTTTTTAGAAATAGTTTGACCTTATTTTTGCAAATTTGTCATATTGGTAGGAAGGCCTAGAGGAAGGCACCTTGTCCGGATTCTATGGTATTCATGATCATTTTCACAGTCGTACAGGGGACGCGCTACATTGCCACCTTATTTCGTTTAACGTGATGACAGAACTGGTATTCGACTTTTCCCACAATTGTGTGAGTAGGCCTCGTTTTTCCATTGAATTTCACGTTGCTTTGGTTCCAAAAACGTATTTTCAGCCTGTCCCACTAGCACACCCAGCAGGACTCGAATCCGGTTTGAAAAGTTAACCAACAAGCCATATTAACAGGACTGCCCTCAGGCTAAGAAGCAAAGGGTGGATTTCACGGAAAGCCTTTTCTTTTCATATCAGCTACTTTGATGGGATTGTCGATTAAACAAAGTATTATGTGCTATGGCTATCGACTAAGTCAACTGGAAGTCTCGACACCTTAATTATGAAAGAAAAACAGATATTTGGACTATCGATGGGATATCTACTCCTGTCACTTCTGACAAATGGATACATGGACAAATTGGAAAGGGAATTCGAGAAGTCACAGCTACAAATAAGAGTACTTATTCCATACAATTTTGTCGAATAATAAAGATAACTTGGATTAATTCCTGCCATTTATGTAATAACTTGATGAAATAATAAAATTTACAATGGAGTTGGAGGAGAATGAGCAGCTAAAAAAGATCTAGACAAAACTTAAATATATCTATGAAATTAATTTGCTCTATGTCACAATATGTAAAGAAATATCATAGATTTAATTCTATAATAATTCTAAGAGTACGCCTTATGATTCCACTGATGTTAGCTTTTGCATTTGTAAGGAGTAACGAAATATGCTCAATATGAATAAAAAAACCTAAGCCTATCAATGATTTTAGCCAATCTTAGCTACAGCTTTATCGTCAAATTATGTTAATATATTTTAAATATTTTTCCTGATTTCCCTCCATTGCCTCTATAGCTCGTAGTTGCTCTTCGAATTAAGTAGTATAATAATTTTAGTAAAAAATAATTCACATTGAAAGACATCTTTTTATTGTGCAATCAGGAGAAATAACCCCAAAATGCACATTCGGACTATGGTAGCTTTAAAATAAACAGTTAAGAGGAAGATATTTAGCCATAAAACTTCACGTAAGAATTTGAACACAAAGCTTGATATTAGGTAAGCAAAACACATCACAGATACGCTTAAGACAAAGCCAGAATTTAGCATTAGATATAAAATTTCTGCGAAAATATTCGTTAATCCTAATTGTACGGTTATGAATAATATAATAACATGTAAAACGAATTCTGAAGATATAAAACTTTGGTGCGACTTTGTACAGAAATATAAACAAAGTAGGGAGTAATGGTAGTGTAAATGAACTCTTGGTCACCAACAACACGGCGACGGGTTTAAATAAAGCAGATGAGTATACAGGTGTTATATGTGAAATACGTAGAAAATAACAAGAAATTCTTTGGAAAAATACACATCATTGTAGAGGACACATTTGAAAAGGCGAAACAAACAAAATATCGAGACAAACCTTTCTGAAAATAACAGAAAAGTGTACTTTTTGTATGATAATCGTTTCAACTATAGTTTTTACACATATCCAATTCAGTTCTGCTTGTAATGTTTGCAATATCTGAAGCTGTTTTTAGGAAAGATAGAAGCCTAATATTACATATTTATTTAGATGATAAGGGAATGTAGAATGAAGAAGCCATCTTGTTAGAGTTGGCTTTATATTCACGATTCAGAGCAAGCAGAATAAAGGAACTGTGAGATGCATTTTTAAGGAATCTGCCCGACGATATGCAAACTATCTAAAGAAAAATAAGAGGCGAATGTACCAATAGGCAAGATAGCAGTAGTGGATACCTGAAAAGCTAAACGAGCAAGATGGACATTTGGAAATAAGTTCAATGGACAAAAGAGAGCATATAAGCGGAGCAGTTGAAGCCGGTTAGAGTTCCCAGCTGAAGAGATGATATTTTATCAGCATCTCGCCAGCCGAATTGCTGCCAAGCGGGAGTTCAGATTCCCACATTTTCTGGCTGACCGAATCGTCAGCGGCCCCCAGAAGGCGATGAAAGTTGTGGCTGGCTAAGGACTTTCCGGTAGAATCTGCAATGTAGTGGTCGCTAATTGCATCTTCGCTCGCTAAAGATGCTGCCTCAGCCAGTCGACGCAGAGGCTTCAACTGACGACAACCGGAAATCCTTGACGATCTTGTTGTTGGTCTACCCGAGGCGGCGGTTGCTGTTGCAGACGAAACCGCACTGTTGGAGTCGGCTGTGACAGCTGTTCTTTGGAGATCCGGTGCGTTACGAAGCTCAAAGAGAGGGTTGAGGTGAAAAGGAAACTGTGCCAGCACCCTGAAGGACACAAGGATAGAAAAAACTTTGATTAAATTAAGGAATAATTAAAAATCACAAATACGCTGAGCAATTGTTGAGAAAAACAGTTGTCTTAACGTGTCATGGATTTAGGCTGTCAGAGTTGATGGATTTGGTCGGAAGGACACTAGCGACTCAAAGAGTAAACTGCAGAAATAATGGAGACCAGAACAACAAATCAGAGGAAATGTGCATTTAGCATATCAAATGACGCAAAATCTGTTCGCACAGCAACACTAAGGGGAAGCTTTGTACCCCTAATTTATTTGCAATGATCTGGACTAAGCTTTTACTTGTTGAGCCTAATTTCACTTTGAGTGAAAGTGTTTGGTGAAGAGATTCGAAGCTCGATTCGACCAGAAGACCCGCTGTCGATTGGCTTCGCTGGAACATGCATGGTGGCGCTGTTTCCGAGGCAAATTCCTTCGATTCTGGTGAAAAAGTGCTAAGCTTTCGCTCGTTACATGACGAGTATCATCAGAGCATCGAGGGTATCATCGTCACAACCAAATTCAAGCTAACAAGTCAAGAAAGCCAACCGGCAAATCCCTAAAAAGTGGTACATCTGGACTCTTTGATCAGGTACAAAGTGATTTGGTTAGTCACGGTCATATGTCAACTTCGAAGCCTGTGAGTGTGTCTGACTCTGTATGTATTTGTGCCTAGTTGTGTTCAATTATGCACGAAACCCGCAGCAAAAGTAATGTCCGTTCTCGGCCATCAAGACTTGATGACCCCTATCCCCCTCTTTCGACATGCATGTTATAACCATCATTCCGATTATGTTGATGAGCCTATTTTTGTTTTGGGTCTCAATGCGAGAGAGAAAGAGTGAACAAAAAGTACAGAGAAGTGACTATGTTCAGAACCAAGGCAAGAAAAGACTATTCACGTCGCCCCATTTTTTCAAGCGACTCAACTCCCTCTCTTTCCTTGAGTCTATTAATTAAGCACAAGTAATTTCTACTTACCTTTTTACCGATATCCTGACATTTAATGTATTCCTAATTCGGTTTATTTCGATGGATACTCTAATTTTACATTTAGCCGCAAACAAACGAGAAGTTTGAGACCACTCAGTCTTGTGTCCAGTTCCTGCCTTGTGCTCAGCCAGCCTTTGTTGAATGGGACGGCAGGTGTCTCCAGCATAAAAGCGACCACATGAGCACATTAATTTATGGCAACCCGATCTGGAAAATGGGGCAACTTTCTCTCCAAAAGTAAGCAAAACCGAAGAAGGTATCGTTATTTCCCTTCAGATCGTTTTTATTCCTCACTTCCTTACTTGTTTACCTCTTCTTATTAAGAGAAAGCACGAAAGTAAAGACAAAACATGAGAAAGGGTCTCCTTATCCCTCCTCACGTATTCAACATTCAAAAAGACATTCTTTACTAATTTGATGTTATTTTCAATCAAGCCTAGGGGATAATTATTCTCAAGAAATGTTATTTTAAGCCGATCCAGTTCTTGGTCACAATGGTCTCCAGATGACCATAGATTGTTAAGTGCCAACCTTACTTTTGCAACTTTGATTGGAAAAGAAGTTAATGATAAAGCCATCATGCTTTGGTTTGCTTGGTTATTTAGATACTTTCCTGTTATTAATTAACAAGATTGAGTGCAATGTTAAGTTGACAATGGAGATAGATAAGGGCAAATATTTAGCATTTTTAGGCGTTTTAATGATCAGAGCAGGTCAGAAATTAAGCAGGGATGTATATATAACTTCAACACATTCTGGCTTTATAATTAACTTCTTCTCCAATCATAGTTGCAAAATAAGGGTTGGTGTTGTAAAATCTATGATTATTCGGAGCATAATACCAATGCGATAATGAACTGGATCGGCTCAAACAAATACTTGAGAATAATTATCCCTTGGATTTGATTCAAAATAACATTAGATTAATAAATAATACCTTTTTTAATGGTGAATACGTAAGAAAAGATCAGGAGACCTTTTCTTATGTTATATCTATTCCTTTGTGCATTTTAGGAGATCAGATAATATTGGACGATATAAGAAAGAATAAGTGAAATTGAGGTGCCACCGATTCCCCATGATAGTCGTCGACTTTATCGCCATCAGGATAACAATCAACTTCATCATCATCATCATTAACATCATCATAAACATCAGTTTCATCATATTCAACAATATCATAGTCGTCATTATTATCGGCATCATTATATTTTCATCATCAGCCTCATAATCAACATCTCCATCAGCATAATAGTAGTCGCCGTCTTCATCATCGTCATCCTCGCTGAAATCATCATTAATATCAGCATCCTTATTAAATTTGTCAGAATCATTATCATTATTATTATCAGTCTAATCGAGGCTCATGAAAGAGTTCGAACCACATAGTTTGCACATTCGCACGGATTGTCGATGAAGCAAGCTTAGTTTTTCTACTTTCATCGATGTCAATAAGCATATCCTTAATCAGGCTTTAAAAATACTCTCGAGAACCAATGCATTACTAATGACGACAAACTTTAATCGGTTATATTAGATAAATTTACTCCATTTCATTTAAAATGATGATGGATAGTAGTCGAATTTTCCCACGATGATATGAGTTGAGCTGAAGTTTCCAGTGAATTTAACAGAGCG